AACCTAAAAAGGGAGGATAAATAAAATGTCTAAAGCAGTACAGATGTACATAGTAAAGCTGAAGCTAAAGCTAAAATAATACATGTGATTTAGTGGAGAGATCTAGGATTGATTTTACTTACCTCCTGAAGACGTCGCTTGAGGTCCACAATCTCATTGCGATATCTTCTTAAAAGTGCACCGTCATCCGAGACCTCCGTAACATGGGGGTCATTCTTCATACGCTTTGCTGCGCTAGCAAACTAAGTTTGGGAAGAGGCAAGAACCAAAATACTGAAATAACATCCACAAAAGACTAAATCGACACAAACAATAAGTGAGCAGGTAACATCTACCTGTAAAGTGCTTAAGGTTTCATCTACAGTGGCAGGGGTGATAGTGCAGATGATGACCGTTTTGGCATTGCCACCCAGAGAATTTTGGAGGATTCGGGTTAGTTTGCTGTCCCTATAATTTGTGAAACCCCTGCGGGAGAAAACGAAAAATGCAAATCATACTGTCTTGGTCAGTTACGGACTTTATTTGGAAACCTGCTTGTCAATTCTCACTGCCCTTGCTATCTAAAGAATACAGACTAGAGGATCCTAAAAGCTACTCTTTACTCCAGAAACTAGACCATTTCAAACAGTCATCCTTTCTCAAGTGTCCACAGATTCAGTGGAGCAATTACTAAATTATGACAAATTAAGTCTCAAATCTACCCTTAGGTCTCCCATGGGCACAGATATGTTGTCAAACTGGTTACAGGTGCCTTATGCAAGTTTGACTTAAAGTAAGAGCAGTTAGCTACTGCTTAGAACATTTAAATGAATGCACTAGCAGGTCTTCGAAAGGCATCCGATCTGAGGTGCGAGAAGAACAGAAAAGGAAAGAGAGTGAGAGAAAGAGAAGACAGAGCTTCTGATTCGTACTTCTGGCTCTCATCAGACAGTTTCTTGATGACTTGTCCCAAGGTGAACAGACTGCGGTTGATATTGCATCCCTCTTTAAAACGGGCTCCTGTAATACACAATTAAAAAACAAGCAAAACTTGGCATGTAAATCAAAGATTTTAAGCTAATCGTCCGATATGTTTGTAAAGTAAAAGCTTTGGCTTTTGATTAGTGAATCACCATAGGCATAGGTGATTAAGGGAAATTTTACTTTGAGTTTTGAGCTTTTCTATGTAAATGCTGACGTTTTCAGCCATCTCAGATAATTTTTAGCTTATCTTAAAACTACTGCAAAACAATATCTCTGGCACCAGGCACTGTATCCGAAACCATTTCATGTAATAACTTTGTGCGATTAAGCTTTTTAGGGGGATTGGACTTACCCTCGGCTCCTGTCTGACTGGCTCGTTCAGCACCAGCAAGATCCACCAAGTTCTAATAGTAGAAACACAAACATTAATATTAAGTAGACTGGAAAATTGGAGATGGATTGGAGTACAGGCAAGTGTTTCTATATATGATATGCCTTCAGCATCTACACAGCATGTCTATAGAAGGTTGTTCAGGATAATAACGCACCAAATGTGACACAATGATAGCTCCATCTGCATTTTCACCAGACATGGGGTCACTTCTCTCTCTGCTCTCCAATATCTGAAGAAAAAAAAATTATTTTTTTTTACTTTTTCATAAACTCACACCAGAACAGTAAGGACCAAAGTCGTTCGTATTAATCAGACCACTCACCATGCGGAAAATCGTGTGAGAGCGACTGCTCCGCTGGTTCATTTTGGTCTTCCCATAATGCCTGTTTTCTAAACGAATAAGAATAAAAAAATGATTGTAAGAGTGGACCATAAGAGCAACACACGAGTTAGTTCTGCAATAAAAAATGACAATCAAAGCATAGAGTCAAGTGGGACGGCAAGAGTGTGCATTACTTTCTCCTTTCCGGATCCAGCCCAGGGCTTGCTCTGGAGACGTCACCAGCTCCTCCGTCAAGTCGGCCACATAGACATTTTTCTGAGGGTATGCACAACAATGAATTAAAAAACCATAAAAGGTCTTCCCATGTACACACTATAGCTACAAATATACGGATTACAATACTCACATAGTTTCCTTCACGGATTTCCAGCGGTTTTCTTTTCCAACTATCACACAGCAGATCTGTTACCGTTTCATTATAAATCTCCATGTAGCTCACTCGCAGGAGGAACTCTTTCTTTGGACACTAGACAGATTGACAGAAAGTGATTACAGCAAAGCTTGTGGACCTTGTTAGAGGCACAGATTAACCTTAGCGCTGGGTTAAAATTACAGGTGTATTGACCCACACCAGCTTTATATCTTACATTTTTGATGGTTTGAAAGACATCGGACATGGCGAGTGGTATAACCCCAGGGGTGTGGTCACTGCCCATCATTGTAAAAGTCTTTCCAGAAGAAGTCTGACCATAGGCAAATATGGTTCCTAGTTGGAAGACAAGGACAAAACACAGCTAAAGATACAAAGCATGCTGTAATGTTCTGTAGTATTGCTCGTTGTCTTGCTGTAATCTTTTACCATTGTATCCTTCCACGGTCGACACGACGAGGGGTTTGGCTATGTCTTGATAGAGTTGACTGGTGGACTCCTCTGCACTAAAAACGCGGTCTGAAGATTTTTGAAGGTAAAGAAAACGTATTTTACTCCCTGTTGAACTCATGAATACAGCCAGGCTTAATGAACCACGGCAACATTTGCCAGAGTGTTAGCTTAGTTGAGTTAACGTTACTTACCAAAGCCAAAACTTTTGGTGAGGTTGCCATCATCGTCAATCTGATGTATGGCTTGTTGGTCAGCTTTCCAGTACAACTGTACAGGCTCTGCATTCTCTGCCGCCGCCTCTTCCCTACGATAACATCCCCACAACACTTCATACCGTGACTTACTGAGAAAATTCACAATGCTATGACTTTGACACGTTTTATTTCACTAACTAACCTAGCTACCTGGCTAACGTTACTCCACTACGAGTTATCTAACTAGTCAGCTAAGCAGCGCAAACTCCTTTAACTTCGTATGTTAAAATGTGGCCATCGACATAGTAACATTACAGCAGACATAATCTGATTATTTAACGTGAATTTACTGAAAGATATCTAACATTAATCCATCCTTCGATCTGTACTGAACAACCCGTAACGGAATGCCAGCTAGGTTAACGTTTAAGCTCGCTAACAATTAGTGGTCACAGGAAGAGAAAAGCTAGAAAATGAACTTAAAATACAGCTATATATATATGTACACTACGATACAAGTATTTTTCTTACCGTTTAATAAGGGGTCGAACCCTAACGCAAACTTTAACTGCAGACTCCTCACTCATTTTCGCCTCATACCCGTTTACGGCTCAAATAACTAAGCGCCGTTACTGTTAGTCCGGTCAGTCCGATGCGGCTGTTGTATTCAAACTGCTGCTAGTTGAGGTTTAAAATTTGATGCGGAATCTGATTGGCGGACGTCATGAAGCGGCCGTCCAATCCTAAGCCTCCATTCTGCCATGCGCCCGTCAGGGACGGCTTATCTAAATAAAAGTCCTGTACTTAGTATTAATAGATAAAAAATAACAATTCAAAGTTATAAATAGATACAAATAATAAAATAAAATATTTTGAATGCCGTTACTATTAAAATTAACTGTAACAAAATCTGTCTTTATAACATTACACTATACCTTTAGTATTTAGTAAATTTAGTAAAATATTTAACAGTTTAATAAGTTCTATAAAGTATACAAATATGTTTTTTCTCTTATGAGAGTGGGGTTACAGTAGTTTTCTGGCACGGCAAATAAAATGGCCTCATGGGCCAACACTGGCCCCAGTTTGGGCATTCCTGTAACAGACTAACTGTGATAAATTCAAATACATTTGAGATTCTTAAATTCACAAGACCAAAGCATTTCTAGCAAAATATTTATTTGAAATCATGATCATGACACCTATTACATAATTTAAAAAGATGGTTCATATGTTAATATTATTTGCACAATCAATACACATTTACAGCTTTTTACAGAATGGTCTTTTAAAGGAATAGGCAGCTTTTACCCAAAAAAAAAAGTTTCCAGAGTTTTCTCTTGTTTATTGTTTGGTGTAGTTATGTTGATACTAATTTAGTCACAACACAAAAATACCTCTTCTGTTTAAATAAATAAATAAATAGACAGACCATTCCATTAAAAAGAATAAGGATGTCCTAGCTAGGCTGGTATAAGCTTATCTGATCATGGCCACTCAGCATACCAAAATGTAACTCTATGATAAAGCACAAGCATTTACTCTATACTCTCAACATTCACTGTCAATCTCATCACAACCATCCAGAACCTCAAAAATGATTATTTTCTTTTTCTTGCCTGCTTAAATAAACCTCAAAATACCACTGGAGATCCATATGGTGCATTATAACAGAACAATAACTGAATTCACTAAAGGTAGGTTATATTTTCAGTTTTTTAAGTAACAGATTAATACTGTAAACATGTAAACATACAGACAAAAAGACAGACACTTCCTTTTAGTCAGCAATGCAGTATTTGATATCACTATTCAAACCAAAAAGCTGATCAAGCATCACTCATCAACACAAACCAGGTTTAGCTTTAATGTAACAATACATGACAATGAAAAAATTGGTAAGAATTTCCCTTCTTTGATCCGTTTTCATCCTTGGATGTTCAGAATAATGAGTAAAGAAGTTTCTCACCAAACACAGTTCCGTTAAAAAGCTTCAGAAGGATTTACAGAATTTATTTCATAGCAGAGGACAGGCAAGCTCACTGGTTCAGCACTGCAGAACCTGCTTTGAAGGTCATTAAAAGAAAAAGATACATAATTTTTAACACAAATATAGGCTGACCTCAATACCACCATTAATATTTTTAAAACCTTTTTTTAAAGTCTTCTTTTAGTGATGATGATGTAAAGTAACCTTATCCCTGAATCACTGCGTGTCCATGACCTCAACACAGTTAGAGAACACTGAGGGAAGGGGAAAAAGTTCTTTTCGGATGGAAGTGTTTATGATATGCTACAGGTGGAAGACTTTGGCTGCTCCAGGATGGACTCACGCCGGAGGTCATTGGGCACCGTGCCACCAGGACCCCACACGTTCAGCTCGCCGTAGATGCCTGTCTCAATCATCTCTTCCTGCCAAGGTATGGAGATATTTCCAGAAGCGAACTCATCAAAAAACTCTTTATCTGGGTCTTCCAGGGTGACCCCTTTCACAGTGGAGAAGGCACCCACGTCATCAAGGTTCTTGGCATAAACGGTCTTTGAATCAGGGACAAATGGGGGTGGCAGAATTCCTGTGAGAGACGAGAGACAAGTTAGAGTAGAAAATCAAATGCCATTAGGCCTCTGACAATTAATTGCCAAATTAATCATTACAATTAACAATTTGTCTTTTTTTGTTTACTGCATGCATCTATTCAAGGTGCAGTGTGTAAGATTTAGGGGGTACAAAACCATGTTTTCATTAGTGTATGTAACTACCTGTAACTACCAACCATTGTGTTTTCATTAGCTTAGAATGAGCCCTATATCTACATAGGTAGTGGGTCCTCTTCCAACAGAGGCCGCCATGTTTTTACAGTAGCCCAGAATGGACAAACCAAACACTGGGTCTAAAGAGCGTCTTTCATGTTTTTATGTTGTAGCAGCTTGAATTTGGTGGCGCTACAGCACCAGTTGGAAGATGCAGAAAGAAGAGAATCAGTGGTTGCTGCTGGTGCAAGGGTAAAGGAATGGAATCAGTGTTTTAAATAACACGAAAACAATTTTGTTGCAGATATAAAATGCAGGTATAATAATATAACATATTATATATTATACAGGTATAATATAACAATACAATACAATAATAATTGCATAAAAATGAAGTTAATAGCATATAAAATGAATAACTATAAAATTAATACCGCAAATGCCTTGTATTTGTGATGAACAAATCTCAAGGCAGATAACCCTACAAGCAATTACGATAGACGCATAATTAAAGAATGTTTTTTTTTTAATGATTTAATAGCTTCTAGTCATTCCTAAACTTCATACAAATTATTAATATGACAAGTGATACCAAACTTTTAAACAGTAGTGTAAAGGGCTGAGTATTGTTCAAACTTTTAAAATACCACTACTAAAATCAATGCCTGGAATTTCTGAAAAATACTTAAATTTTATTTATAACTTCTTTTAAATTTCAAACCAATAGCACGAATGTACTATAAACAGCAAATCAGCATCTTTTGGAACAAGCATACTCTGTGTGCTGATAAGGGCTTGCTTATTGAAATTTGTTTTTGAACAACATGAAAATTTTCATTGCTATTGCATATCAGAACCCAGCCACAGTAGTGTATGTCTCAATAATAGACTCAAGGCTCGGGGCTCAACTTCATAAGACAATTCAGCCTGAACAACAGAAACTCCAAAACAGAGCTGGGCTATACCAAAAGCGTTATGACGTTCATACCTGCATCAAGCTTTCTCCAGTTGATGCTGCTGAAGAAAGGGTGGGCACGCAGCTCATCACAAGTCTCGTTTTTGAAGCCCAGTCTTTTGTCCACCTCCTTGGCTAGCAAGGCCTCACATATGGACTTGGCATTCTCACTGAACTTCTCTGTGTAGGTTACTGGGTCATTCAGGATGCGCTTCTTCACCTCTTTGTTCTCCACCTGTGCAAGAGAGAGGGCATGCTTTTGTTTTTGCCTGCAAGAAATCAAAAATTATTTGGTTCAAACTTGAATATAAAAGATGCCTTTACAGTAAAAGGCTTTGGGGAAAAAAGTTAAAAGGTAAGCTTAAAGGTCAGCAACAAATTGATGATAGCTTTTCTTCAGTTTTTCTTACTGGCCACATTAATAAACGTGTTCATCAGTTCATCAGACTATTTTGACGAAATTCAAATCTTCAGGGACTGCTACAGTGGCATTTTTGAAATGATGGTATATTGTGTCATATTTTTTAAGATGCTATTTGGTGGCATCTTTCTACTGGGTGAAACATACACTGTTAAAAATAAATGGTCTGTGCAGGTACATTTTACATTCATCAAGGTACAAACAACATTAATGTACCCTCAAAGTTACAACAGTCGTTTACAGGTCCAATTATGTACGTTCAATAAGTTTTTCCGTATTGAACAGATCAATAAAATAAAAAGCCTGGATACGAGATGGGGTGTGTGGAGTTAATACAACTTAGGTTGTATTATCATTTCAGTGGATTATGTTACCATTATGTTCCCTGACTAAAGGTACTGACATGTACCCTTGAGGGTACCACCCCAGTGACAAGAGGGGTACTGCCCCGGACAGTTTAGTACCTTTTTCTGAGAGTGAAGGGAGAATCAGAGACATTACAAAAAAGAAATGGGATATCTTGAAATGCTCAACACGGCAGCTGTATCAAAGTCTCACCCTTCAGTTAAAAGAGCCAACCAGCTTGTTGATAAAAGCATAAGTGGGGGAAGAGAGCAGTAGGATTTTCCACTGATTTCAAATACGTTTCTGAGATGTTCATTTGGCTTTCATTTTTGGTCAGATAGGAAAATCATTATACTGGAAATGATGCCTGTTGCCAAGATGAGTGAACAGACTTTCCTGTAAGGACTTTGGAGAGAATACATTACAAACACTAGAAGCAAAGTGGCGAATGAAAATAAAATGGTGAGACTAGCATTACACACTTAAAAAAGATGGTTCTTCAGGGGTTCTATAGTTATTTCAATTTAGTTAGTTTAGTTAGTTCAATTCTATTTAGAACCATGAGTTCTATTTAGAACCACTTCACATTTAAAGGGTTCTTTGGATGGTGACCTGGTTTTTTAGATTGATGGAGAATGTGTTGTATATGTAAATGGTTCTATATAGCATCAGAAACGTCCTCCCATTGTTACAAGCTTGAGATCTTAACAACGGAAGAACGCTTTTTGGTGCTATATAGAACTGTTTTCAGAAAGGTTTTATATAGAACCATATATATTCTCCATCAATCTGAGGAACCATTTTACCATTCTCAACTCATGGTTCTACACAGAACCTTTGACTTTACTAAAGAACCTTTAAAAACCCTTTATAAGAGCGTAGATTGAGAATAGTTTACTACTACAAGTTCTATAACACTCTATCATCACACTGTCTGTGCGCTTGATTTACTGTTGTATTTGGCTAGCCAGTATGCAGTCGATCAGCCAAGACATTATTAATGTCCAAATTGTGCTTTTTTAGTTGGAAGTTGGTAGTGCTGGAGCTATGAGGCTAACGGTCCTAAAACTACATGTCAACAGTCACTTAAAACCTTTATGTAAATACCTGCCTAAAACTTGGTGATATATTGCTACATCACATAGAAAAGTTTGCTTTGTAGCTCCAGTGCTACTCTAATGACACAAAATGTAAACACAGAACATCACTGGGCTGATCTACATCTGGGGTAAGTAGTAATTGTTTAAGTTCGATTTTTCCCCAAGCTATTTCTTTAAACCAAACTATTTCACTAAACTATTCCTTCCAGGTGCTGGTCTTGAACCCGATGCTACTGTCAGTGTGGAATCTGCATTTAAAACCATTCTAAAACTAAAAAGTTTTAGTCTTAGACTGAACAGTCTTAAACAGTCTTTTTGTGCAATAAATAGGACCAAAGCATAGCTCGTTACCTTCTCTCCTCGAGTCCTGAAGGGACCTTTGGCAGCAATGAATTCATAGAGAGTGACCCCAAGAGTGAAGTAATCTACAGAGTAGTCATATTCCTCTCCTCTCAGCAGCTCTGGGGCCATGAACCCTGAATTCAGACAGCAAAGATCAAAAGTCAGCTGTGTTCTCATCCACTAACTTAAAGGGCTTCATAACACTTGGTGTTAATGCTTAAGGGAAAAAATTTCTTACTTAAATTACCAAAAACGTATTGAGTTCACTAGAATCACTGCTTTTGGCCATCTATTAATGCTCAGTCATAACCCTAAACTACAGGTGACTTTAATAGGACTGTAGAACAATCTTCACTTTCTCCATATAACTTCAGCATGAATGGACGGGCTGTGTTGGCAAATACATCACCACTGTTCGAACAAAGGTGTTTATCTCTAAAAAAGAACTTTAAAGGAGAATGGAAAAAAAACATTCATGTACATGTATTTCATGTAAAGTAATTATGGACCATTTCTATTGGTCAGCATAACATGAAGTTTTAACACCTTATAAATGGCCACTGGCATTTTCAAATTATGTAGAAAAACAATATATATTCAAGGTTTTGCTCTGACAGCGCTCATATGTAAATGCTTTGTTTTCTTTTATAATTTGTTTATTCTACATTCTACTCTATTACTTACAAAAGTGAGGAAATTTTGCTTTTCCATTATATGGGACATTTAAAGCACTGGTTGGTGAGTTTAAAAATGTATTTTTTTTTCAGCTTGGCCTCAAAAGCCATACAATATGAGTAGCAAACAAGAAGTTGAGCCACGAAGAATCAAAGATCAACCAAAGAAGAATTAGCATTCACAGTACAAAGAGAAGAGGTTGCGAGAGTACCACAACTAATATTCCACAACACACCTGGAGTGCCAGCATAGCCCTTTGTCTTTTCCTGGCCTTCTGCTAACTCCACAGCCAAGCCAAGGTCAGAAATACGCACGTTACCTAAGAACAAACATCAGCAAACATCAGCACATTGTCAAACAAACGTCAGAGATTGTACTCATACTTAACAGAACAATCATAGCTGCCTTTTTGATATCGTGAGTGCAAGTCTTCGCAAGACTCTGTGTACTGTACCTGTCATTTTTGTGTGTGTCTTTGGCAAAAACATGCTTAAATGTCACATCTCCCAAACCTACCAGGTAATATAATTGTTGACATTATTGACATTATCTCATTTCCTAAACCGTGTCTAACATGTTCTAACAGTGTTTTTCACCTTCATTGTCAAGAAGAACATTCTCTGGCTTCAGGTCCCTGTAGATGATTCTCTTCTGATGGAGGTGCTCCAAGCCTTGAATGATCTGAGCAGCATAATAGCACGCTCTGGGCTCGTCAAAGCCTGGATTATTCTCATCTACATTATAGATGTGGTACCTGAATGGAGAGTAAGCAGAGGAGAGTGAAGAAAGTGTAATTTCACATTTGTTAAAGGTACATAAGTGACTGAATTTAAGGGTGATATGATCTAATGCAGTGTTTTACCAGAGAACATTCTAGTTCTTTTTTTGCCCTATACCTAAAGGCTCTGCTAATTAGCAGTATTAAAAAATGACAATGCACAAAATGTGTAACAGAGGTTCTTGAAGACTAGGATATGAAAGCCCTAGTCCAATGATAACATTGTAATAGTGATAATAATGACAATGTGGGAAGTAGCCAAAGGCCTTATTTGAGGTGATCCTAACCTCAAGTCTCCCCCATTCATGATGGTCATGACCAGGCAAAGTTCTGTCTTGGTCTGGAAGGCATAGGCCAGGGAAACAATGAATCTGCTGTGAACACGAGCCAGAATTCTTTTCTCCACCATGGCGCCCTAGGAAAGACCAACAAGAGCTATCAAGGGATGTTTCTTCCACAGCATGCAAATTCAAAATATGGTAGAGCATCATTAAACAGTTACGTTTACTTAGATACATGTGCTCAAGTAACATTTTGATGTTCCTTCCGGCATATTTTCACATGATAATACTTTCACTTCTACTTAAGTATATTTGAGGACAGAATTTTTTTTACATTTTTAATCATTTAAATATTTTTTTGTGCTCAATTTAATTGCTTTGTGATTCTTTACACCTTAGTCTTTTGAGGTTTGTCATTTGATGTTTGGACCAAGAGTGCATCAGAAGAACAGAGGTTAACAAAGTTCAGTGCCTATGCTGATCAATGCTCGATATACTAAGAAGGTGCACTGCAGTTCTTGAGTAACTCAGTATTTGAGGAGGTTTTTGGCCTCTTACGTTTGTAGAAACACATTGCTGCCCCCCTCTAAAAAAACAAAAACAAAACAAAAACAAAAACAAAACAAAAAACAAAAACAAGGGGTGGAGATCTAGCCCCCCCATTCCCCTGAAGTCTATAGACATATATAACCTCCACTGTCTTGCTTTCAGAATACATTTTCAGAACCCCTAGTGGGAGGACCCCTGAAAAGCTTTCCCCTTTTCCCCCTTATGGGTGGCCCTGCATCTACACAAGTTGTTCTTTAAACCAGTAATTTTACTTAAGTAATTAATTAATTGAATAACAGGATGTTTTACTCAATGTTGAGGCTAAGGCTATTCTACACACCACTGTAGGAATGTGTACATGTAAATAGGGGAACAAAGGCTGTTACACTAGAAGGACTAGAAGAACTTCTAAATTCTAAGACAGTAGTGATTCTGCTTTTTGCCATGGAAGCTGTACTTCAGGCCATTTCCCACATTTTTGGTTACAATGCTGCAGGTCACAGGTTCAAGCTAATTTCTACATAACTAGTCTCAATTCCCAAACAAAGCTATAAAGCGTATAACAGTGCAAAATTGTTTTTGATTCTTTGGTAATTTATGCAATGTTTCTGGCACATGGCCAGTAGACATGTTCATTATGTCATAAGTGTCTGTTCCATGTGCCAACTATATCCTCCTTCCTTGTGTACAGGACTTCTTGAATAAATCTGTTCCATATTTAAATGTGTTGGAGTTGGCACTTCATAATGAGCTCAGTTGCTAATGCTGTAGCATGTCTAATACCATGCGCTAACTCCTTCCTAGCAAAGCTCCCAACAAAGCTAACTGCTTGCATATTTCTGCTAGCATTTTATGCCAATAAAACATGACCAACGCTAGTACTTATGGTGTTATTTGTAAGATTTTTTATTTCATGTAGCATTGCAGCTAAAAGCTAACTAGCCAGTCCTAAAACCTTACAAGGTAAAATAGTTTATTCACATACATCACAGTTCAAGTCATTTTTATTTTTGATCATCCTTTTGATCTTATATATTGAGTTAGAATCCAAACTGGTGTCTAAAAATGCTCAAAATAATCCAAATTCCTACTATGGGTTTGAATGTGGATGATATCTTCAATGTGTTGATCCAAGTGGTTTGATTGCAAAAATATATTACATTAATACAAGAGTAATATACCATGAAGGGGCTTAATTAATGACACTTAGATAACAGGATATCAGGCCACATTCAAATCCATAGCAGTGTGCCTTATGTAACTAAGCAGCTCTTTAATCTGGGCAACTATGACATTCAGCTGAAGGTGAAAGACTCCGGTAGTACAAGACTATTTGGCTTTTGGTCTATGAGCCATTTAGTAAATTAAACAATTAATTAAATATATGAAGAATCAGAGAAAATATCTGATCATGTGTTTATGCAAAGGTGTCTTTTAACAGAAGCTGTATCTTCTTCGATGAATGCTCTAAAATAATGATTTTATCTATAAAAGGCACTGCCACCACGCAATGGAAAGGTCAGTGCGTGAGAATGAGTAGCCCTCAAAGTCCTGGCATGAGTTATTTCCCTCTCCGACAACTCTGCAGACTTAGTTTAGAGGCAATGTTTGATGTAAACATTAACAATTAACTGCAGCCTCGCACAGGATTTGTTGAACATGGCAGTGAATTCGATGGTACTGCAGAGACTATCAAACAGCAGTGACACTGTTTCAGTATGTCTTCACTCATTTGGTCAACATAAACCACTGTAAATCATATGATTCTCACCTCATTGCCTTTCCTCTTCTTCAGCCTTTTCTTGTTTAGCTTCTTGCAGGCATACAGCTTTCCCGTGGCCCTCATCTGACAGGCAGACACCTCTCCGAAGCCCCCCTTGCCAAGCACACGGAAGTCCAGGAACCACTCCTCAGTTACAGGCTGCATCTCCAGCCACTTCCACTGCAAGAACCTCTTGAAGTACATGGTCTCCAGGTAGAAGGTGAAGGGAACCTCCTTGAGGAAGTCAAGAACACAGGCCAGGATGTCAACAAACAAGTCATCTGAAGCTTCCTCATGTCGCTCCTTCACCTTGGTGATGTCGTTTTCGGGCAGGAAGGGGCAAAAGTATTTGGCTGAAGGTTCCATGTAGCGTTGAAGGATCTTGGCAGCCTTGCTGGCACGATCCTTATCCTCGGCTGTGTCATACTCCTCCACATCCTTCCACAGGCGGCAGGGCCCCTTGTATTCATTAGCTGTCTCTAAGTATTCTTGGAACAGGCGTTTGCCAATGGGCTGTTCAACACAGATGCTCTTGAACTGGAGGTCCAGGGTCTCCCTAAGGCCTTCACATACTGTGATGTGGGGCAGCTTAAGCTTGGAGTGGAACTTCTTGTCCCGATTAGCTGCTGGGTTGGCGGTGCCATCAAAGCTGCCACGAGCTGAAATGTATGCCGAGTTTGCTACCACTGTGGTGAGGCCGCCAATATCCATGGCGACAAAGCAAGAGAGTAGACCTAAATAGATGAACTGGGGGAAAAGGGAATGAGTTGACCAGAAAACAAGTCTGCGGCAAACCTTACTGGGTCAGAGCGAGAGCATCGGAGCTCAGCGCTCCTCTCCACGTAGACAGGGTACCAGTGAAGGAGATGCAGGAAAGAAGTCCAGATGAACAGACATCAAAATCCGAACAAGAAATTACAGGTGGGATTAGAGACCACAGGATGCAAGATCCTGGAGAAAGTGAGGAGTCCAGATGTGCCTTTAAAAGAGCCAGACAAATACTGCTCAGGGGATAGTGACCACTGAATCCACTTGGAGGCTTTGGGCGGACAGCAGTATGAGAGACTTAGCCCTGTGCCACACAGTGCACACAGATCTGCCTGACTCAACACCTTTCACAAAGCCTTTATCCTCTAACTCCATAATACCTTCCCTATGTTAACCCTTCAGAACTCTTTAAGTGAAGAGGAGTGATACTATAATCACTATTGTACTCCAAACTAGACAACTGCAAGACGTTTTGTTGGTCAAGTGTTTCCTTTAGCATGCTTCATGACATTATTTACTAACAGCATGACTGTTTTATAAGGAACATTCGACCATTCATGTAGATTATCTTGAGAGACCTCTTACAAAGGGGTTATGAACCCGCATGTGACTAAGCTTCTTCTACCTCGTCCTAAGCCAAATACTTTCTTAAAACGTTTAAGCGAGCAGACCTTGCAATTAGAAAAACGTGGCCTCTGATTCTGGCATCTGCTTCCAGTGGTCAATGTTAAATCTAAAACAAAAAAGTTTATCTCTGAGTTGTATTGGGTTTCACTCTGCGATAAGGTAATAAGATCTTACTCAAACTCAAGCCAAGAGGTAAGTTTATGGCCTTGTCCATTGCTTCAAGGTTACCATAACAAATCTCTGCACACTTCCACGAATAAATGACCGAAAGTACTTGTGAGTGGTTTGTCCAGCTCAGAAAAATGCATGTGAATTCAGTCCTTATCACTGGGTATAAAAAAGGTGCACAGGCCTGGTACACGCATAACGTAGAGAACTCAGAAGGACCAAAGGAGAGGAAGAAAGGATATATGAAAGAGAACACATTTTAGAACAAACCAAACATTGCAAGGTTTGGTAAGGCTCCTTCCAATCTAGTAACTCCGAGTCAAGACTTTCAACATGGCTACCTTGAAGGAAAAGAGAACTTGTGGACAAAGATGTCAAGACTTTGGTCACTTTGTCTGGAATTCTGATGATGGAACTTTCATGGGTAGAACGCCAGAAAAATGGGGTACGTCTGCACGAAGAAAACAAAGCGTATTTAATTTGATCTAATTTTGAAATGAAGGCAGTACTGTGAACATTGTTAAGTAATATCAACATAATTCGTAACATGTATAGTATATTCATCTGCCTTTTTTTCAAAATCAAATTTGTAGTTTTAAATTTCTTAATAGAAATAAAGCTGGTCGTGCTAATGTCAGCTGTAACGGAAGTCCTCAGCTAAATAATTTGTATTTTTTAATAACTCATTGACACCAGGAACAACAGGCATAGGGTGCGATTCTATGTCCCTCAAGACATGTATCTTAGGCTTAATTTTGAATCATTTCTGAAGCCTGCCTTTATTGCAATCAAGTGTTATGAGTTTTCATATCCTTTCTGTGCAGAGCTCCATCTGTTGCTTTTAAAGGTGGTTATGGGTTTCTAGATACCAACTGACAAATTACCCAGAGATCAGCAATTATTTACAGAAAAGGATATTGTGAACTTGTCCTTCCAACACTGCTCATGACTTACCAATAAAAAAAGTAGCAGTTAGACACAAACGGGACTAAATGAACAAAAGAAACTGGCCATAACTGTCACAACAATAACATATGACACATGATTGATAGGTTTTGTATTCATAACATGTTTTCAACTCTTTATTACAGTGTACATCAGCTCGTACTATTTGGCTTTCTATGTGGTGATGACAGGCTTGTTTTCCTTGTCCATCTACGTACTCATGTACACAGTGGATCCATATTATCCCGTCTACCAGGATCGATTAAAATCTCCAGGTTAGCAAACTAACAATATATACTACTCAAGAAGAGAACAATTTTTGTGTTTTCATGGTGATGAAGTTTCTTCTTTTTGTAGGAGTAATGGTTTGGCCAGACATGTATAATGATGAGGTGTTAGAGCTCACCTACAACATGTCAGACAAGCACAGCTGGATGAAGATGTCCAGCTGTCTTCAGCACTTCCTTGAACGTATGTATCTTCTATCCAAAAAGAGAAAATGACTGTGAAAGCCAAAAATGAAGATGAATATGGAAGCTAAAGTCCATCCTTTTGTTCTTCACTTCAGCCTACAATGACACCAAACAGGAACATTGTAATTATCACAACTGTACTTCCGGCAAGTACTTCTTCCAACCCAAATTTGATGCTCCCAAACATACGAAGTGGTCCTGCCCTTTCTACCAAAGCACACTGGGTAACTGCTCTGGCATCGACGACCCCACGTTCGGTTACACGACTGCCCAACCATGTGTAATCATCAAGATGAACAGGGTACGTTGTTTCAAGCAGAAACATTCTAATAGGTTGCCTTTAAGGACTTGCAAGTAATTGCTCATTGTTCTTCTCAGGTCATCAATTTCCTACCAAACAACGGAACAGGAATGGCCCCATATGTTAACTGCACTGTGCTGGTGAGTTTGGAATATAATATATAAAATAATATAAAATCATATAAAACAGATGAATGGTAGACATACGTTTATATGAATAATAGTACCGCTGGGTGATATTAATAAAATTCAATATCACAATATTTTAAAAATTATCACAATATCAGAAGACATTTAAGTATTGATAACCCCATGCTTCTTAGCAGTCTTACAAACATCCTTTTATTGAACTGTTTTGTTCTGTTACGCTTCTCCTAAAATGACACCGAAGGGAACCACAAACAGTACTGTACACTGTTAAAAACAATGGTTCTGTGCAGGTACATTTATTGATCATTAAAGTACAGACGATGTTAATGTTCCCTCAAAGGTACAACAGTGGTTTTAAGGTCCAATTGTGTACCTTAAATAAGTTTTTCCAGGTGAAAAGTACGTATTTGTACCCTTTTCATAACCTAATTTTTTAAAACAGAACACTAAAACACAATAGCTGGAGATGAGACGGGGTGTGTGGAGTCGGGACAACTTAGAAAATATCATTTCAATGGATTATGGTGCAGTTATGTTCTCTGACTAAAGGTACTGAGATGTACCTTTGAGGACACCACCCCAGTGACAAGAGTGGTACTGCCCCAGTGACAGTTTCGTACCTTTTTTTTTTTTTGAGTGTAAATGTAAACCAGACACCAGTTTTATATGTTAACCTTTTTATTTAATCTATCAAAAAATATCTGAGGAAAAAAAAAAAAAAGTGTGTTTGACACCAACACCAGCGTAGAAGTCTTATCTCCCAGCACTGTATACTAGTTCTGATAAGATTAATGGCAAATGTTCTTGCGTCTACAGGAAGGTCAAGAGAATGTCCGTGGGCATGTGTATTACCCAGAAAACGGGACAATGGACCTATCGTACTTTCCATACTATGGCAAGCTGGCACAGGTAAAGCACCTTCCAGCTTGTTTTATCATATTCACATATCTGTACATGAGCAGCACTGACTTATTTATGTGGTATTCCTTCAAAGCCAACCTACGTGAATCCCTTGGTGGCCGTGAAATTTGACCTTATCAACCAGAGGCATGCAAAGATTCAGTGCAGGGTGATGGCCAACAACATTGCTTATCAGAACATCTATGAACCTTACGAGGGGAAAGTGGACTTTTATTTGACAGCTTTGAGTTAGCTGCAAAGACTGCACTTGTGGCTTTTACTGATTGTGTCTTCATAACATGATTAAATAACTGAAATTCTTAATCTTTTGTTTTGGAAACAGCTACTTTATGGAGACTGTATTACCTACCTTTTCTGTCAATAATGACCTTGAAAAATGAAAACCAAATCTGTTTGTATTCACTGCTCACAAATGTACATTGTTAATTTAAAATGTATTCAGTTAAAAAAAGCAGTTAGTTCATGATAAATACTCGTAATAAAGATATACCACACTGACCTGCCTCTTTCTTCTGAGCAGAAGCTTACTTTTTAAGCAGCAACACAACCAAGACATTTGCTTTTTAGTGAAGTTCATCTTGACAAGAAGTTCAGACATACATAAGAATTTTAGAATAACCCCACTGCTGCATAAACATGTCTGTTTAATTTCTAAACCCATATAAGAAAAGTATAGTTTTTCAGCATCTGCTGTAGAAAAACAAATGTAAAAAAAATCAAAATTACATAAAACAAACTAGGAATCAAGATTGATTCCTTATCTGTCTTTTGGAATACAAAACGTTGTTAAAGCTTGACAATGAGTTTGGTGTGCTCTCTTTAAAGCTTTCTAGAAAAAATAACACCCAGGGTATCAAAAATAGTTGTTTGTACTGTTACAAAACAGTGGATAAATCACTAAGTGATTGGCATCAAGTCACCAAGGTCAGTATCTTTAAACAGAATATGATCTGACTGAATCCAAGACAATACTGGAAGGTGGTAACAAAAAACAGGTGGCCAAAAACAAAACAAAAAAACACTAAGTAAAAAGTTTTTCACACAAGCACCACTGGGGCTCTGTAGAAAGCAGCTGCACATTGCTCTAGAGATTCTGAAAGGCATTACTCACTGAGCTTGCATATACAACCAAATTCAGATGTCAAAACAGAAACCTCTCTCGAAACAGTGAGAGAAGATCTGTTTCACCCTACCCTCACACTAACATTGGAGGCAGTGCTGACTGGGAAGAAAAACATGGCACAGAGGTTAGTCTTCGTCGTCGTTCTCATCAAAGTCGTCTTCCTCCTCCTCCTCCTCCTCATCCTCCAGGAAAGATGCTGGAGTATCACGAGAGCTGCTGTGATATGAGCTATTCGAGCTGGAGGCCACAGTAGGAACAGCTCCGTTATCACTATCAAAACACAAAGAGACAAACACCACTGTTTACCAACAATTCAGGGCCCCAAACCATTCCGAGTTTCAGAAATTGAATAGATATGAATAAACTGAATATAGCTAACTAGAGCACGCTTCTGAAACGAGGGTCACAGGCATAATAACAATAACAACAACAGAATACCAAGCTAACCCTATAATCTCGCTCTTGTAAACGATCACTTGTAGAGTAGGATCCTGCAGCAGGTGGCTAACACAAGTAGAAAACAGTGTCTTGCTAAGCTACTGTTTTTTTTTTAGCTTGCTAGCACTAGTGCATCTGTTTTTTCATGCATTATGTGTAAAAAACCACAATGTGTGATAATATCAGACAAAGCATTACCTGGCTGAACGAGCATGGCCTCCATTGGGCTGTCTCATGGGCCCCTGTGCCATATCTAAAAGAAAAAAAGAAAAAAAAAAATTACAATGAAAAACACATCAACCCACAGCACTGAGAATGTCATTTTCTCTGAGAGTATTTTATTCCATTTATGATATCCTTGTGGTTTTAAAAACCAAAAAACAGACAATTCAATCATGACGACCATTTTCTACTTTTCTTTACCCCTTAAACAGGATTAATTATTAATTAAACAGGACTTTGTTACTGTGCCTTGACAGGAGTACCCTGTTCTGATTGGATTCCCTTAATTGTGCCTCATTCAAAAAGCAGTCCAGGCTGAAACACACCTCCTGAGAGTGAAAGGGTGGGGATAAAGTGCTTAAGGCTAAAAGAGGTGGATTTGAATCAATCTGTTGGTTTTCTTGATATAACAGTAACAGTGAGCTCACAGCAGGCAATGTTTTGTAGCTTAGTTTCCATACACAGACTGTATGGACTGGGGGGCTGGCTATGTTTTAAAAACTTCACAATATAAAAATATAAAAAATATTGCTGATGCATTACAATTAGAGATGCACCAACACCACTTTTTCCTTTCCGAAACTGATAGCTGATCTTCGAGTCCCGACATCGATACTAACTCTATGTAACCTTACTAACTTAATTCCTGATATTTGCAGTTCTACTTTTTTTATACTTTATTTTGATAAAAGCTTCTCAAAAGAGTGTTGTGTCACTAATAAAACATATCAAGCTTCAATGAATGGCATTTACATGTAGTAATCTAACAAGATACTTAAGACTATCCTGTTTTTGTAAATTAGCATTTACTATCATAATTAGTTATACGAGCTATATTTAACAAATTAATTAAATGTGAAATATTTTTTGTGCAAAACAGTTAAAAAAAGATTGAACAATACATAGATCTTGTGAGAACTTGAGGTATATGCATGCAAGCATACAGCACCTTCTCTGGCTCAGCAAAAATGTCACTGAATCCTGTCCGAATTTCTTAAGTCATTTATCTCATACGTGTACTGCTCACTCACAGTGTGAGTTGACACACAGGCCCGTATAGCAGGCTGCAATGCTAAAGGCTAAACCAACAAAGGCCATCAGTAACCTCAAGAAAGCAGCAGTTCTCAGTAACAACTTGAACTAACATTAACTCAGACTGTAATTGACTACATAGCAGCAGATTACTGAAAGAAGCCTGACTCAGCCGTTGAGGTAAGACGCTCCCATCAGAGTATGTTGTGTTATCTACTGTATTTATGACATACTGTTGAAACCAACAGCTTAGGAAGAATTCCAACTGGTATGTCACCCACCGCTACTGTCTTTCCACAAAATAATGGGGCTTAATTTTTCGCCTTAAGCATTTTTGCTGCTACATGTCAACCCAAACTGCTGACATGTTTTTAACTTCCATCTACTAGCGGGCACACACGCACAACATTGCTTCTTCACATTGATCATAGGTATGCGTTTCCCAAACGCCAATATCGGCCTCGCATTGAGGGGCAGTATCAGTATCATGCAAATCCAATTACAATTCACAATCTGAAACATCCAATTGTGCAACTTTTTTTTTTAACTTATATTTTCATTTAAAATTTTGCACACAAACACACACATATTTCGCTGTGTGGTGAGGGAACCACAGTGGGTTTGGAGGCATTTTCTAGTAAAGAGTTAAACCATTTGAATCTGTACACTTGTAAAATCACTGTACTGTGAACATCTTTAATTGCCTGCCAAATAAATGAGAACTCAATCATGACATCTTTGCAAGCTTTATAAACAGAATGACTTTATGTTCTGACCAATTACATAGGGTTCCAGCGCTTTGGGGACCAGTGCCCGGGCTATCTTCAGCTGTTCTGGAGAACATCTGCCAGACTCCAGCCCTAACGCCATGCCCATGCGCTTCAGCACCTCAATGTCATCATGGATCTCAAACATGTTGTCAAAGTTAAACAGGTACTCAAACCTGCAGAGAACAAAACAGAACAAAGAAACAAGGATATTCATCTGGACATATTTGTTCATATGCTCAGAAATAAAGAGAAAAAAAATAGAATAAAGAGAAAAAAAATGGAAAGTGAGAGAGTCTGACTTGTCATTTGAGATGCTGCAGTCGATGACTGTCCTCTTGCTGGTGTTGACAATGATGAAGGGCAGGTGGATGACTGTGTTCTGTGGAGGTGGTCGGTGGTTCTTTTGCTCTGCTTCTCTATTTCTCTGCACCAGATTCTTGAAGGCTATTTGCTGAAGAGAACAAAATATATGAAATAAATTGGTAAATGCATACCTTCACCTTAAAGGGGCCATACTCTACATTTGTTCTTGCATTCCCCCATGAAGTCCATTTGTGACATGTAGATTTATTAATTAAAAACAGTAATAATAATTATTAATTTTTTACATGATCCTTTTCTGATTTATTCTGATTCCTCAGAAGTAAACAGGTTGGTTTTTTTTTACTGTGCCTTTAAGAATAATATAAGTAATGACCTCTGTTCTGAGTGGTTGCCATTATGTCTCATTCAAAAAGGCACAATGTTTAAATCACATGTTATGAACTCATTCCACATCCATACCAGCAGTAACAGCACACCTTAACATATATTGTATGTAAATATGAACACGATTGTGAAAAATCACAGCCATGATGAATTTAAAAGTTGTTGTTTCTGAAACTATTTTGTTTGGAAACTTTAACAACGTTTAGCATAGTACATCAAAATCTCAATTCAAGAAAAACAACAAACCATGACACGCAGCTTCTAAATAACACATTCCCACCCAAGTTAGTGTCTGCATACCTGTAATATAAGCTCTTGAAGCTGAGACTGTTTCTGCTTTATTCTTTCAAGTCGTCTCTGGCGCTCAGCCTTTATGAAAACACACTACATATTAACATCTAAATACATTAAAAATGCATTGTTCTCAAAATGTTTGCTTGTGTGCGTGTGCTGTTTAAAAAAAATCTAACCTCCAAGTCTTTGCACTCCTGAGCAGAATTGGTTGGGAAGCCAATCCATTTGATCTCCTTCTTGTCTTTGGAAATGATATTCATGGCCATCAGGACATTCAGTGCATCGTATACCCGTCTCCGAATATTCTTCTGATCAAAAACATGCTATGGCAGAGAAAAGACATGTAAAACAGAGGAACCGACCAATATAAAACGTGTCACAAATACCTAAAGAATTAAAAACTTTAACTGTTAACACTGGTTAATATCTTACATGATCAAAAATGAAACAGAATTCAATAGGTGTTATCAATCAGTAAAGCACTATGTAGCTATGTTAGATGTTGGTTGCAAACTGTGAACAGTCAAACATGATCATCAGTTCTCAACTGATATTTTTAAACAGCCGAAATGATGAAAATTTTTAATAATGTAAATAATGTACTCTGAGGCAGGAGTTCTTCTTTTGTCGGCTTCTGTTAATAAG